CGGAAGAAGTGGATGAAAGAGACGAAGAGAGCGGAGGCAGAGGGGAGATGGTGGAGATAAGCAGCGAGAATACTGGACCTCTAGGACAGTCGGATGAGAATTTGGATGTTGAAGGACAGGAAGAAGAGGATGACGAGGACGCTGGTGATAACTGTAAGAGGAAGAAGAGGAAGAAGTATCACAGGCACACAGCTCAACAGATTAGAGAAATGGAAGCGTAAGCTTTGCTTCTTCTTAGCATTTTAGGGCAAGAAGCGCAGCCTTGATTGTTAGGTTTATTAGAGCAAGTAAAAAGTAACATAAAGGGCTTTACTATTTCGCAAATTTTATCTTCATATCTTAGTTAGACAGTACCTTAATGCAAACTAAATAAATAAAGAGATAAATTTGCAAAATGATTCATTTAATGAATAAGTAGGGGTGAAGACATTCCATAGGGTACTAGTATGTGATAAAATGCATGGTCGGCTAACTGGGAAGATTATTGATTCAGCTTAGCTAAAGGATTTGAGAGCAACTGGTTGGTTTACTGCAATTAGTGAAATTTTAATTCGGGTAGCATTTGCAATTCATAATTTCTACCTATTTGAAATTCCGTCAAATCCTAATATGTCGATTTAATCATATGACTTAACCAAAATGACAACAGAGAAACAATGCTTTCACGCCAAAGACAAACTAAACTGAGCAAATGAACTCAATATGCAGTTCACGTCTCAAAGTCGCCAAAGAGATGGTTACATTTGAAGTCCATAATGATAACTACTCGAATTAAAAAAGGCTTCAGGTTTGCCATTTTAAACAAAAATTTTCATGTAAAGAACTTTCATTAATCATAATAATATACCATCAACTTATCTACGTACAACTGTACAAGCATGACGTAGAAGATTACTCCGGCTAGCACTTTATAAGTTTAATGTCAATATCAAGAGAAAGTATAAGTCAAGAGCCTTTGATAACAAATTAGGGTTTGTGTGCGTATGAAGGCCAATCACAATTATCAAATAGTGACAAGATCCTAACCCTTAATGAGCCTGAAACCCGAATTTCTAACAAGTTCAATAGATACTAGAGTCCACCTTTATGTCAACTTACGGCAGTTTCGTAGAAAAAATTGCCTATTTGAATTCAAGAACTGTCTGAAAACTACTTCTACATGGAATTGTTTACAGGTTATTCAAGGAGTCACCACATCCAGATGAAAAGCAAAGACAGCAGTTGAGCAAGAAGTTGGGACTTTCCCCAAGGCAAGTCAAGTTCTGGTTCCAAAATCGAAGGACACAGATCAAGGTACAAAGATATCCCAAGTCCTAGCGACGTATAGTATTGAGCATATTATTTTATTTACGTGGAGCAGAGATTGTGCACTTAAATTTTATGATTGGGTTGACTGAAAGGACTACGTTACATGTTCTGTAGGCGATGCAGGAGCGCCATGAGAACTCTCTGCTTAAGTCAGAGATGGACAAACTCCGGGAAGAAAACCATCATATGAGAGAAGCTATGAAGAAAGTCTCTTGCCCAAATTGTGGCTTTAATACTGTTAGCAACGATTCTGCAATAACCACTGAAGAACAACAACTGCGCATAGAGAATGCACGACTCAGAGCAGAGGTACAAGACTTATAAGAAAATATCAGATTTGGGTTTTTGCTTACAACCAATAGTTTTTTGACATATTTTGATTTTGAGATACATAGTAATAATCTTTATCCTTAATACTTCAAAACTTCAAATATGACTAATTTTTAAGGTCACATCTCTCTGTGCAGATAGAGAAATTGCAAGGAAAATCAGGGAATTTGCCTGAAGGAACTGCTTCCCTAAGCTCTTCATGGACTGTGGGAACTGACCAAAACAATAGGGCCACAATCAAAGGTTATGCTGGTTACCTTGGCCTAGAAAAATCAAAAATCATGCAGATAGTTGACCTTGCTTTGGATGAACTTATTAAAATGGCCACCACACATGAGCCCTTGTGGATTCGAAGCATTGAGACGAACCGTGAAATACTAAATTATGACGAGTATCGCAAGGCGTTTGTATCTGAGGCTACAAGTAATGGATCTCAAAATAAGTTATCAGTTGAGGCATCTAGAGAGACTGGCATGGTCTTCTTGGGTATTTCTAAGCTTGTACAGGCCTTCATGGATGTGGTATGATATGACGTATCAATATTCATAATATATATCTCTCAGGATATTTATTTTCTTCCTTGTAGAACTTCTATTGCTTAATTGATTTTAACATAATTGAGGATCCATATATTTCTACTGTCTTACAGTTGCAATCTTGTCAACCAACCTATTCACTCATTCTCAGAACTTTATGCTAAACAAGCAAATAAATTTGAGAATTTTATTGATTTCCAACTCTGATAAATGAATTCTATTTCTTCTTGTTTAATCTTTACATAGGAATTTCTTTGTTTTTTTCCTCTCCTCTCCATCCCAAACAATCCCATTTTTTCTAAGCTTGCTATTGGTGTACAATACTGCAATGTGTATAGACTCTTTCTTCAAATGTGTTTGTATTAATTATCTCATACTTTACCCCTCTCCATTGTCATGCCAGAATCAATGGAAGAAAGTATTCCCTTGCATGATCTCCAAGGCATCTACTGTTGACGTTATCTCTGAAGGAGAGAGCGAGACGAGATCTGGCTTACTACAACTGGTAACCAATCTTTCTGATCTCGGTCATTTTTAAGATAAATTGCGCAGATCCTGATATTATTTTCCAATGGATTCAGATGTTTTCTGAGCTTCAGATGCTCACTCCAGTGGTTCCAACCAGAGAACTTTACTTTGTTCGGCAATGCAAGCAACTAAGCGATAATAGATGGGCCATTCTAGATGTTTCCATTGACAAAATCGAAGAGAGCATAGATGTGAACCTTGTAAAATTCAGAAAGCGCCCTTCTGGCTGCATCATAGAGGAAAAGGCCAACGGCCATTGCAAGGTGAACTCATATTTCCTAATGCGTCTTTATCTTAAGTAGAACAATAATACAGTGTTAGTTTTACTTGTCTATTTATTAGAACTAAGTCTTTATCATTTTATGTAAATTAGGTGATTTGGGTGGAACACATGGAATACAAAAAGAATGTGATTCCAACAATGTACAGGTCAATTGTTAATAGCGGCCTAGCGTTTGGGGCTTGGCATTGGATTATGACACTTCAGTTACAATGCGAGAGGATGATGTTCTTCATGGCAACCAATGTTCCAGCAAAGGAGTCCATAGGTGAGTAGCGCATCTGTGTAAATTTGAAACTCCCTCTCCTACAATATGTGTAATCCAGACATTTCATATTTTCAAACAAGAGCTCAGATTTAGCATTCTAACATGGAGAAACGTATCTACTTTAGTCAGATGACAGTATTCATTGATTCATATGTCTAAGTGAGATAAAGCACATATATGAGAAGAGAATAACATATCAGATAAAGGTTTCTAGAAGATTTCTGAAATCCTAAGCACCTAAAACCTATGTTTCCACAGGAGTTTCTACTCTAGCAGGAAGGAGGAGCATCTTGACGTTGGCAGAAAGGATGTGTATAAGCTTTTGCCATGCAATGGGTGGGTCACGGAATCGTGCATGGACTAGGGTTTCGACAAAGTCAGGAGATGACATCAGCTTCACATCTAGGAAGAACATAAGTGATCCCGGTGAGCCTCTAGGGTTAATTGTATCTGCAGTCTCTTCGACATGGCTGCCTGTTGCTTCTCCTGTTCTCTTTGAATTCCTAAGGGATGAGTCACGAAGAACTGAAGTAAGATATTGAAATCTTCTCTTCATGATAGCTGATATAAATAAGAGATATCAACAGGAATTATATTGTGCATTACAGTGGGACATTATCCTATCCAGAGGTCCTGCAGAAACTATCGTGAACTTAGTCAAGGGAAAAGATCGTGGCAACTCCATTACAGTTCATGTAGGTTGTGACATAAACATATTTAACCATAAACTTCCCGATACTACAACTAAGGCTTATTATGACGTGAATATGCAGGCAACAAAATCTACGGAGAGGAATTGTATGTGGATTCTACAAGATAGTTGTACTAATGCTTATGAATCTATGATAGTTTATGCTCCTGTGGATTCTAATGGCATGCAAAAAGTGCTAACTGGTTGCGACTCGAGTGATATGGCCATATTGCCATCTGGGTTCTCGATATTACCTGATGGGATCGATTCTAGGCCAGTCGTGATCACATCTAGACCAGAAGAGAGATCCACCGAAGGTGGATCTTTGCTCACAGTGGCATTTCAGATTCTGGCTAGTGCATCGCCTTCGGCAAAGGTAACAATGGAGATCGTAGAGAATGTGAATACCCTTGTGTCGTGTACACTACAGAATATTAAAAGAAGCCTGCACTGCGATGATGGATGACAAAACATTCATGAATGTGATATTTCTTATAGATTTCTTTTTTTTTTTTTTTTGCTTGACTTGCACCAATCAGTATACAAGTATGAAATAACTTGTTTGTAAAAAGATTGTTGATGTATACAGTAGGTAATACTTTCTAAAACCATGGTCATTGCTTTTGCCACCAATATTTTGTTTTGTTTTAAATTTCCTTTAACGAATTACCAGCACAAAATGTAGACAAACGAAGATCTAACTATAACTTTTTGGTCAAAGTGTTGACTATAAAGTTACAATATGACTGCCAGTAAAAAAAAGTCTTATTTCAAAAACTTTGGTGTTCTTTAGCTTGGTTAAATGGAGGATTAAGAAGGGTTAATTCCTCTCTACCTTGTTAGACACAAAAAATAAATACACGGTATAAAGTAAGTTAATCCATCTTAATTTGAAAACATAAATCATAAAAGGGTTAAGATAACCCTATCTGGTCAATGAGTTAACCCCCTTAACATAAAAATTTGCTAATCTGCTTCTTTATTAGTCTGCTCTTTCTAACCCTTGTTGAACTCAAACACAGAAATCCCAAGGGTTAGTATAATCCTCACTTAACAGAGTTTAGTAATTTAATCTCTCTCTAATCCCTTTTTCTTGACTAGCTTGCTTAACCAGTTTCCGTAATCGCTTTTCCTTTAATTGTGAAAGAGGACATTCAAGATTGGCTACATGGATTTATTTCCTTGGTCAAATTGATAAACATCAATATTTTTCAGATGGGTCCCCATCTAATGTTCATTTAGGTCTACTTGTGGTACTCGTCACTTTATTACCTTCAAAATGAATCTCTACCAACTAGCAATCTAGCATATCTAGTGGCCTTTGTTGTGTATGGACAAATAAGTTCCACTGGAAATCCCTTTCTTTTACCTTCAGTACGAGAATTTATCTCCAGCTATAAAGTCCAAAGAGCTACCTAATCCTGCCAGATATTTTTATACTAATGGAAGTTAACTCATGCAGTGGGAAAACTATATGAAGCTTTTCATCAAGGGACAGAATAATCATTCTGGCTAGAATCAAAACCCTCATATTTAGGGAATGAAATGTGTGGTTTACAGAATAAGAACAAACAGTGCCATCAAAAACAAATCCATTGGTCAAGTGACACTAACAACGTGAAACACATGTGGCTGTTGTTGTCAAGCCTACTTGGATGCTTATGGACATAAAAACTGGTTCTCATGATACTGCCAAGCTATGTATTTTTATGAATCCTAAACCCCAGTAAATTCAAAAGCATTACATTTACAACGGCATAAGTGAAGGAGCTTGATCTTCCTCAATCTTTTTCTTCGTACTGTTAATGCTCTTACCACTGCTTTATAGCAAAACTGATACTCTTCATAAACCACAGTTGCAGGTTGAATTTTGGGCAGCCCCTCAGCCAATATTAAAGCTTTGCTTAGACGTTTTCATTTGTGCTGAGAGTTTAATTAAGAAGGGACGTTATACCTCCGCTATTCTTTTAGTTCTCTGCTCTCTTCAATGTTTTAAAAAAAGCCTCCGCATGCCTAGACCTAGACAGTATCTAGGCCGCCCGCCTAGTGCATAGCGCCTAGGCGGTACATAGCTACCCACCTAAGTTTTGGGAGCCCCTAGGAGAGTATGCCTTACTTAGGTGGATTGTACCCTTTAGGCCTTGATCGTGATTTCCTCCATTACAGTCTCCACGTCCTTCGACCTCCTCCGAACTCCTCACCTCCTCCGACCTTCGGCAAACCCTCCACCACCAATTAAACGAAGAAAGAAATCCGCCTAGGAAACATTCTGGTGTCTAGGCTATCTATAACATTGACATTTACTATCAATTATTACAATTAAAAAAAAGAAAAAAGAAAACCGCTTAGGCCCTGCATAAGCGACTAGGCCCAAGGTGTCAGGTATAACTCCTAATCCGCTTAACGCTTTCTGTTACCTTGCCTCCCTTTAATAGTAAATGTAAACCCCCACCCCCCCAAAAAAAAGGTAATTAAAAAATAATAATATTATTAAATTAAAAAAAAAACCAAACGTTTCACTGTTCCTCACCGCCTCTCCATGTCGATGTTTCCCACCACCACACAGTAGGATAAAAGGGAGGAAAGGGGGAGAAATTAGGGGAAAAAGAGAAGAAGAAGAGAAAGAAGAAGAAGAAGACAGTGAAAAGGAAAGGGGAAAGAGGAATATCACCCTAAATTCAAATCAATCCAATGTATAAACCTTTATCCTCCTTGTTTTTCTTTGATTTTAAGGAGTTGATGGGGACATTAGTTCTTAATTTCTCAAGGAATTTAAAAAAAGAAATACATATCTAATCGTCGGCGGGGATCTCATCACCGACCCCTCATCGCCGGGGAGTCATTATCGTCGAAAGGCTGCTCCGACGGCAGAGCAGCAGGAGCGGGCGATTCTAAAAACGCAGTAGAAGAGAAAACTAAATTAAAATAACAAATTTCTTTGGGACACCTGAAAGTTTATTAGTTTGTATATAGGTCCAAAAAATGAAAAGGAATGAAAATGTTCATGTAGACCCTTGTTGCTTTGTTAATTGCAACCAGATCCAAAAGATCCAAACACAGTTAGGAATTAAGCTCGAATAATTAATTGGAAACCCCTGAGCTACGCCATAT